CGATCCAACGATGCCAAAACGAATTCTGTGGCTCGAATGGTTCTTGAGAAACTTCTAATAAAGGCCATTTGGTTATCTCTGGAATGATGTAAAAACGAGCGTTCTGGCTCATTTTGCTTCCGAGAAACATGCAAAATGGGACGGAAAGCATAAAATTTTGCAATAATCTTGCGTCACCCTTGCACAAAACGACGATCATTTTTCTAATTTCATAGATAACAGAAGACTGTATTTTTTCTACATCCCCCCCCCCCCACTGACTTTAAAGCTGGATCCGCCCCTGTATTCAGCCTAGTCGATCCCATCGCTTTACAACTTAAAGCGGGTTCCATACGAAAACAGATCGATCCCCCTGACTTAACTCTGTAGCTTTTTACACGATTTTTCGTCTAGTCCACTAACATAAAACTCTATTGTTCCAGTATGTTTATCAGCAATGTGCATGTTTGTGCTAGAGACGAAGCACTTGATGGTCGTCTACCTGTACCTCACCTCTATAGGAGTGGTGATTACGTCGGTTTTTGCCAACTTGCGAACCGTAAGGACTGTACTGATGGACGAGAGCCACTTGAACGGGACGCTGTCGCCGCTGCAAATGTTCCACGACTTCGACCTGAAACAGCTACTGAACGAGCGAGGTTCGATGTTTCAGGTGACGGAGAACTACGTTATCCAAACGATCCTGGCCTTTGTCTTCATCAACATACACTTGGGGCCTCGATATACCGCTCTACAGCGGCTGCTGCCCGTTTCCTTCCTCTTGCCGTCGCTGCTAGTGGTTTTGCCCGTTCCTGACACTTTCCTAAGGTACAGCCCCATAGTTTCCGCTTTGTTGCCCATTGCAATGGTAAAGTTCGTGCTGTGGTCGTCCTTTATGGCCATTGCATTGTCTCTTGGTACCGGCTACGTTAAAGCCAAGACGTTTATTTCAAACTTTGGAGTCTCCGCTCTAGTGGAAAGCGAGTGGCTGAGACTGAACGTGCCCGAAGTCCTGCGAACTTTCTGGATATTGCGAACGGTTGAGCATGCGGGCTGCTTTATTTTGTCGGATGATTGGGACTTGGACGATGTGCACTCTGTTTATTTTCGACTTTTGAAGTATCTTCTGGTGTCTGGGTGCGACACTTTGACTGCCGTTTTGGGCTTGACCAGTGTGGTCTCCTACATATGCAACTACATTGGGAAGTTCTTCCAATGGATCTTGTTGACCGAAGATGAGAACGACAAGAACTTCGGAACAGTGTCGGCGATTGTGTTTTATATTTTGGCGCTTCAAACCGGCTTAACTAGCTTGGAGCCGGAGGTGCGCTTCATTCGGCTCTGTCGCAACTTCTGCCTGCTGTTCACTGCGCTTCTCCACTTCACGCATAACATCGTTAATCCTCTGCTGATGAGCCTGAGCGCATCGCATAACCCATCCTTGCGACGGCATGGCCATGCCCTGGTAGTATGCGCTGTTCTGGTGTTTCTATCTTTTACCTTAATGTACTTATTGTGGACCACTCAAGAAACCTCTACATGGCTTTTGGCCGTGACAGCCTTCAGCATTGAGGTGATCGTAAAAGTGATGGTGTCGCTTGCAATCTACTCCTTGTTCTTATACGACGCCCGACGGGAGACCTTTTGGGAGAAACTCGACGATTATATCTACTACATCAGGTCATTCGGAAACACCATCGAATTTTGCTTCGGCATTTTCCTGTTCTTTAACGGCGCCTGGATTTTGCTTTTCGAGAGCGGCAGCGCCATTCGCGCCATCATGATGTGCATCCATGCCTACTTCAACATCTGGTGCGACGCCAAAGCTGGCTGGTCCGTTTTCATGAAGCGCCGATCTGCAGTCAATAAAATCGATAGCTTGCCTGAAGCCGATAGCACTCAGCTCCAGTCACTAGACGATGTGTGCTCGATCTGCTACCAGGAGATGTTCAGCGCTAAAATCACCAAATGTAAACATTTCTTTCACGGCGTGTGTCTCAGGAAGTGGCTCTATGTGCAGGACAGGTGTCCGCTTTGCCACAAGATTTTGCATCTGAACGACGAGAGCAAGAGTCCGCCGCCGCAGGATCCCCCTTTACCGGACCCTTTGGTGGAAGAGGAGTACAACAGGTGATAAGACGTAAAGTGATTTGGGGTAGAGTCTAAGCGGAATCTGGGAGTGTTAACACATGAAATTGACTTTGAAAAATCTGCCCGAGTGGAATGAGCGTTTCCTGTTCAACTGCTAATTGCGCAAGGGAAGTTCACTTCAATTTGGATCATTGACTTCTGCCTTGCCTCTCTTATTATGGGTTGTTATTGCTCAATCGCTGTTCTGGACTGTTCTGTAAATATTTGACTTTATGTTCGAGCAACTAGAGAGTTTTGCATGCAAACTAATCACAGGTTTATAAGCTGGGAATTTGTCCCATCGGGGACTGCTTAGATAATATAGAGTTGTGGTCAATTAGTGCCGTGATGATAATCAGTAATCAGTTAGGTTTGTGGTCAATAGACGGTGGCAAAAATAAAACACCATTTTTTCATGGGCCCCCGAATGATTTCTCTGTCCAAGTTTCAAACACTCTATATTATCAGTAATTATTTAGGTATGTGGGGTTTTCGGTCAATATAGTGTTTTATTTTTGCCACCTTTGACCGAAAAACCCACAAACCTAAATAATTACTGATAATATAGAGTGTTTGACCATTGGAYCCTTCGGGTTGTCTGCAATATGCACAACCTGAGTTCATAGTTCGATCAGTCCATCTAGTCGTGTTCAACAATGAATCCAAACCAAACCAAACTAAATATSAAATGCTTCMTTATGCTGCATCAAATGAAAAATGACTCAAAAACTGGTTTTTGGTGTGAACAAATTCTTATTTTCCTGCCCGATAAGATAAATCACCAGCTCAAGCAATGGGTTTTTGGTGCCCACTTGGTTTAGCACAGCAAATATGTGTTTTTCAAAGTCAATGTATGGTCACTATTATAGGGGTTAATAACGTATAGTGCAACTAAAATTGAAGTAATCAGACGATACTAAGGAGTGATTTTAGTCTAGTTGTTAGTAGCTATGTGAGTAATTGGCTGGCGAAGCCCTTTGTACACCTCAACATAGCGCCCTCTTTATTTTTATACCCATTTAGATATTTATTTTCGTTTGTTAACTGCCCTGAGTATCGCCGGGTTATTCGCTGTAAATATAAGAAGATTGTACAAACATTGACGAGTTTGAAGTTTAGCTATTTATTCCGACTTTGCCTTTCTCTGATCAACCCCGGCCTTGTTCCATGACTTAGAGCCGTAGTTGCGCTTGTATTTCTTGTCTGATTGAGAAATACATTCTACCACATTAAGTTGCATTGGTTTATTTCGCCTAGTTGAACACCAAGTCTTTGTAATTGGATAAAAGGTAGTAGTTTGAAACGCGGCAGTTGGTCAGAGTGCGCACCACCGTCATCCGATCAGCTCGCTCAAAGTTGGCCTTCACGATTTCGTAGTACCTCCCATCGCTACGGAGAAACAAACTTCTTTCCTAGTTGGGGCATTGAAGCCTTCCACCTACCTCAGACTTAGGCATTTCAGCTTCAAACACTTCACTCTGAGCGTGTCGATGGCCTTCTGGCTTTTATCGGAAAACCGCAAATTGTCTGGATCCCATCTCAGCTCCAGCCTTTCCAGGTTGTTGCAACTCTTGGCGATGCTGTCCATTAGCTGGTCGGCCAGAATATTCACCCCCAAGCGCTCTTGCGTGCCCATAACAAGTATTCTGGAACAGCAACGTTAGTTCTCCATCTGTTTTTGGCCGGGAATGCGCTTACTTGGCGTTGGCCAGTATAGGCAGTATGGACTGCCACAGTGAGTCTGTGATGTGGGTCATTCCAGATAAACCCAACGCCCACAGTTGGTGCCCGTGTTTGCACAGGAACTTATAGATGGCATCTTCGGACAAATTGTCTGAACTGTCCAAGTCGAGTGAAACCTTAAAAACTCCCGTTCCTGAAGCGGAAGATCCAATGGAACCTGGAAAACTCACCAAATTTCTCGGATTGCCCAAATCCACCCAACTCTTCAACACCGAATCGTTGAACCCGTTAATTTGGCCGGCACTTAAGAACCTCAGCCCGGGCAGGCGGGTCAGCATGTCCTGCAAGCATTCGCTCGATAAATCTGTGGCGGTGATGTCGAACTCCTGCAGCGAGCACTTTTCCCACTCCACTTGCATCAGGTGTTCGCTTTTTAGGTCTGGAATCAGCATTCACTCATCCCTCCTGGGTTTCAGAGGGTTTTGCTCATACTCACTAGTGCCGTTCATCAAGAGGCAGGTGAGCCGCCTGCTCCTTTGGAACAATGTCTTCAATGTGCTTCCAGTCACTTTGTTGCAAAAATTCACTGCCAAGCACTCCAGCTTGAATGCAACATTTGGCAAAAAAGAGTTGATTAAACCGCTCGCCTCCTACCTGGATGCAATTGGAGCTAAAGGCATCAATGTGAGTGTCGTCAACGAAGTTGATCCCATAGAGGTTGATCACCCTCAAGTTGGGAGTGGCGCTTTTCAGCCTGTGCACGTTGATCACCTCGTAGATCTCCTCCTCTTCCTCCTCGACCTTTTCATAGGTGCCAATCAGATGGAGGATCTCCAGGCCGTTGATGAAGTTGTAGATTTTCCTCATGAACCCCTCCATGAAAATCACCTCGGAGAGGCAAATGCACAGATACTTCAGCTTGGTGGGGAAGGCTTGGAGCTCGCTGAAATCGTGCAGCTGCATCGCAGTGGAGAAGTCCAGGAGCATATGAGTGAGGTTGGGGCACTTGTTGGCCAACTCATGCAGCACCGTGTGAGTGATCAGCTCAATTGGAAGCTCAATGTATCTGCAAAGGCGGGTTTAAAAATAATCCGTCAAAAGCCTGGAAATTGGTACCTTAAAGAGGGCCCGAATCTGATGCTGATTAAGGCCAGAAGCGACTCGAGGGAACCAACGTGTAGCCCGGAGATTTCCGGGCGCAGCGACACGTTCTTCCATAGTTTGGTGTCGTAGGCGATCAGCCTCCACTTTTTGCAAACTCTGGCCATTCGGCATATTTCCTTGTGGCACAAGTAGCTGAAGATGTGAAGAAGCACTTTGTCTGGCAGTTTTTCGATTGTCTAAAATAGAACGTGCGTTTTGGGGTTTTTCCGAAAATTTGTTGGTTTAATTAAAAAAAACTGGTTAGCCGCGACCCACTAAACAGGCAATCAATCATCATCAAATCGGGTGACTTGGTCGCTCTTTGGACACGTACCGTTCCGGCAAACGGACTTCTGGCGCCTGTTCCTTCAGTTAAATAGACCTGGGAAGCTTCGAGAGCCAATTGGCCCCAAACATCTGGACATACATCCATTTGCACTTATCTGTTGCTGATTAAAAGCTGAGAGCTTCAAGCCACTGTTTTCACTTTACGTAACTTAACGCATATTCGAAATATCGCGACGCGAAATAGCGGACGCGCTCTAAAAATACCGCTATAAACATTCGGCCGGTTTTTCACGCGGGGTATTTTGGGAATGCAATGAAACTTCCCAGAGGATCTGAATGGTTTCGGCTGCCCGAATATAAACAAAAGTGAGCTTTGGATGGGTTTTCAGAGTTTCCGGCCCCGGAGTCTAGGCGAGTTGAGCAACAAGCGACTGGATTTTCGAAGTTTCGCGAAAACAGCCAACTTCTATTGAACATTTACAGAGGAAAAATGACTTACAATTTTCTTCGTCCGTCTGAAACTGGTGCCCACATCGTCCCGAACAATAGCGGCCGTAGTCAAATCCAGCTGGCCCCAAGAATCCATCACTGAAGCCCGCTTAACACCGGCAAGTCTTCACTGGCTCAAAACCCAGCCCACAAATCCACTTTTAAGTGGCAGGGAATCCAGACATGTATGAATCTTGTCCGAAATATGTTATTGGCAACCGTCGTGGGCTTTTGTAAAGAGTCTAATTAAAACATTGCCGAGTCAGTGCGGAACTAATTTCGCTTCAAGTGACCGATACTGTGAGGAACATCAATCGTCGCTCCAGAAAAATCGAACAGCAGTGACGGATCTAGTGGAAGCGGCAGAAAACCAACAGGAAATTTAACGTTTATCCAACATGAACTACGGGCGCGTCAGCATCGTTTTTCTGAGTTTAAAAGTTGTCGCATTGAAGGGAAACAATGAATTTTGGGGTCGCTGAGAGGAATTTTCCGAGCGGTTGACGTGGATAAACTGTTTTGGATGCTCTTGGAAGCGAAGAGCTCATGAGAACAAAGGAAGTTTCAACACTTTGCAGATTTGAGAAACGATCAACGCGTGGGGCAGAAAGGGATGACGAAGACAAACCTGATGAGCTTAAGCAAAATGCCTGAACAGAATATTTCAAAACTCCCAGTAGGAGAACAAAACAGCGGAACAAATGAGAAAAACAATTTATCATAATAATCACATTAGGTACAATTATCTCCTAATACTTAACAGAATCTTCCCTTTCCTGCCAAGTGTTTTTAGTAAAATATACGGGCCTGATCATATGCAAATCCTATGAAGGGCCCTGAAATGTTTTGCTAACAAGTATAGAAAAATATCTCTTATATCTAGACGATAAAATATCTATATACATATATAGGTACAGTGTCTTGGTTAATGTACACAAAGCAAATTATCATTCAAGTTGTGACTGTTCAAACTGGGCCTTAAAACTAGAAAACAAAGTATTAATATCAGAGAAACGAAATAAAGCTCGTCCCCAGTGGAACCAGGTTGAAAGTAAAGGAAATTTAGTCCATTCTTCATGTGGTGGAAACAGAATATTTCTGACTTAAACTTATTGCAAAGACAGGGAGATTTTCTTCTGGATCGTTGCCAATTTGCAGATGAAAATCCCCCGATCTTCACCAGTAGTTTGGTAACGAGTATTTTGGAACATTTGTTCAATTCACAGTGTGGCGAACTCACCCGGATATATCCATTATACCCCGATAAGTCACAATCAACTAAAATACTGTAAATCTATTAATATGGCATTCGAGATTACCAGTATACGAAGTAGACGTCGGACTTTCAGTCAAACTAATGGGTGTAATTCATGTACTGGTAATGCGCGTTTGATTTGTCGTCCAACGTGCAAACTCTATTCGAATATATTGCCAACTATCGAAATCAACATGATGCCGACAATAAAGCTGCACATCTGCTTGAAGGATTCCGTCGGACTTTCTTCTTTGAGCAAATCGGGCAGAACAGTCACCAGGCCGATATGTAAGAACGATCCTGCTGTAAACGGCAGGATCCAGGAGGTTCGCGCTTCTGCAATGCAAAACAACTTTAAACATAAAAAACCGTTTCGGTAATTGATGGTGGAACTAAAGGCAACGGAACGTTAAGGCCCTGAGGATGCCAAAATAAATATGGCAAAACGTCGGCAATTTTGGAAACACGCTGTTTCGAATCGATGTGAAAACCAACAGCCTGTTTTTAAAATTGCCGACGTTTTGCCATATTTATTTTGGCGTCCTCAGGCAAGGGTGGATCCAGCGGGGGGGTCATGGGGGCCATGACCCTCCATTCATTTCTCTATTCAACGATGCCAAAACGAATTCTTTGGCTCAAATGGTTCTTGAGACACTTTGAAAAAAGCAGCGTCATGTTCAAGTGGATTTTGCAACCAAAAAAAACCACGCAAATCTAAAACTTCTTGAATTCAAGCATTTTTTGAAAAAACTGCCAACATTTCCTTATCGATGGTTCACTTTCTAAAAAG